AACTGCACTTGGCATTTGATTTACCAGTATCCTCAAAACTACCAAGCCTGACAATCATACATCATCTACATTTAGGATGGTGAACTTCCAAAGAGAGGAGTTTTGGGGACCAGGCTGACACAGCAGTTGGGTCCTTAACACCTTTAAGCACCTTTGAAAAACACCAGCCCAACTAATTATGTAGCTCCAGGAAGAAATTGGATCCAGAGCATATATACTGGACATAAGTCAGACTGGTTTTGGAAAGAATAAGACTAATTTTTACGCTTTCTCCAACATGTTCCAAATAGGGAACTGTCTGGTTGATGCCTTTTTGCCTCTTTCACAGAACAGTGTGGCTGAGAAGGCTGAGCACTGAACTGCTACTTGGGAGATGTGGATTCTCTGCCACTGACCTGCTGCACGACCTTAGGCGAGTCACTTCACTGCCCCATGCCTCAGTTTCCCCACCTGGAAAGTGCTTTGAGATCACGATGAAAAAATGCTACAACAAGCTAGGTAATCATCATATTAGTTTAGCTAAACTGGAGTGTAATGGGATGTGCACAACCTGCACTGGGCCGGAAGGGTTAATACACTGTGCGTGGAGGAAGTCCGCCCGCTCCCCCAGCCATATTGGGCATGCTCCAAGAGCTGGGATACTATAAAAGGAAGCAGCTCCGCTCAGTCTAGGCTGGATGCTGGAGAGGGCGGACCTGTGGCAGGAGTTCCAGAGGTGGACCAGCTACAGACCCTGACAGCAGGAGACAGAGACCTAGGAGACGGGAACGAGTTGCCAGAGGAAGAAGAGCCCCGGGGATGCATTTGTGCTGAGGAGCCTAAGGACTCAAAGCTCACCAGAGACGGTAGGAAGTGACCCAGGGAGGGCGAGCGAGTGATATCTCCCGTCCAAGGGAGCTTGGCGTGTTTTGGTGGGATTCCCCACTGAGCTAGAGGTGGATTGTTCCACCACTGCCGGGGCTCTGGGTCGGGGCTTGGGCCTCGCTACTGGTGCTGCTCCCCCCCTCCTCTTTCTAGCCACAGTCCCCTCGGTACTGGCCATTAGGCTGTGCTGCCCTCCAACCAAGGCGCAACTCTATGGACACTAGCCATTAAGCTGTGCTGCCCGAGGGTGACGGACTGACTTAGGTTACTGACAGCAGCAGTAGCAATGTACACATGCCCCAGTGATCCGCCCCCCTTTCGGGATAGGGCGTGCATACATCACCACATGGAGACACAAATGCAATTTCTTGTATGTGTTGACATCAGTGGTATTTTTTTTAACACTCTCTCTTGTGAGCTTTGGATAGACAGACAGACAGAAACACACACACACACACACACGCGCGCGCACTTGCTCCATAAATGATTGTAATCTGGAGTGACACTGGTATAAAACTGGGTGTGATAGTGAAGAATCAAGCCCACCGTGTTTCATGGCTGGAAGGTACTGGATTGTAAAAAGAGCACTGCCCATTCTATTTAACCTCTGCAGACTTTACGGGCGGCTGGTGTTTATTGGAGCCCTGCCACGGCTGCCAGCAGCGGCTGAAGCCCCGGGCCCTTTCAATCACCATGGGAACCCTGCGTGGAGTGCTCTGGGTGGCTCAGAAGGGCCGGCGGAGGGAGGCTAACCCAGCTTCGTCCCTCCTGTGAGCTCAGCGCCTCCCCTCCACACACACCTCGCCCAGAGGTCCGGCAATTCTGTCTGCCTCCCTGCGGTGGTGGAGACATTTGCGCTGAAGCTGGAGTCCCGGTTCTAGGATCCCACAAAAAGGGAGGGCCCCCAAGGCTATGTCTACACTCACGGCTTCTTGCGTGTTTAATATGCAAATGAGGCTAAGCGTGGAATATCGCCGAGCCTCATTTGCATACCTCATGAGCCACCATTTTTTTCAGAAGAGGCTCTTGCGCCAGAAGGAGCGTCTACACTGCCCCTTCTTGCGCAAGAAAACCCCTCTTGCGCAAAGCC